ACATATTTTAGAGTTGTCAGAAATCCTCATGGGGTCTCTGTGCTGGACAAGGGGGAAAGATGGGTCTGGAATTTAGTAATACATGCACATAATATGACAGCTGTTTGAAGAGTAAAAGGGAATAAGTATTATTTGATTTAGGAAGAAATGTTAATACAAATTAGAAACATTTCAAAACTGAATCCTTACAAATTATTCATAAAAAATAATCCTTCTCAACTTTTTCTATCTGTAGTCTTTGTTTCTCTGACTACATTTTTGGCAAACCAGAAATTCTGTAATTTCTGCCCTTTCAGAACTTACAAAAATAGTTCAAATCTCCTTTCATCTATAATTCCAGGTGCTACAAACCCCTTCCACTCCATAAATCTATTTGTTCATATTTCTACTTGAGTGACAACTATTTTAGGAAAACTTTAATTATTTCTATTTTTTCTCATTTAGTATTAAAGTGTTTTACCTATAAAGCTTAAGTTATAAGATTATACATATATTTAGATTACCATAGTATAAATTTGTTTTTTAGATAAAATACAAATCTAAAACATTCTTATTGTTATATTGTATATAACAATATATAATATATTGTTATATTGTTATATATGTAACAATATATTCTATATTGTTACATGCATCAGGTACATGCATCTGTAGTGAATGTTAAAAACTTGCATTGAAAGAGTAATATCAGCTATAGGACAATCTTCAGCTCCAGGGGTAATTCTCTACCTTCTCCAAATACTTGCCACCATCTAAGCCAGCATACTAAAACTAGTGTTGTGTGAAAGTCAGAGAGTGTTTCTTAAAAATGGATATTCCTGGGCTTCAACTTCAGAAACTCTAAAGCAACAGGACTGTGTTGAGGTGACGAATGTGCACGTGAGCAAGAACCTCAGCTGATTTAGCTGCAGATGATTAAAGAACCACTTTACAACAGACACACGGACTAGGCGCAGCTATGGGGGGTGGGGGACAGTGGAGCCTGCAGCTCCAGGGAGAGGGCGAGACTAGAACAAGATTTGGTTGCCACTCTTAGTGGGAATGCAAACTGGTCCAGCCACTGTGGAAAAAGTGTGGAGGTCCCTCAAAAAGTTAAATTGGAACCACCCTACCAACCACTAATTGCACTACTGGGTGTTTACCCCCCCCAAAATACAAAAACACCAAATCAAAGGGATATATGCACCCTTACATTTATAGTAGTATTTACAATAGCCCAATTATAGAGGTATCCAAGTATCCACTGACAGATGAATGGGTAAAGATGATGTGTGTTATTGGAATATTATTCCAATAATATTCCAGAGGAATATTACCCAGCCATAAAAAGAATGAAATCTTGTCATTAGCAATGACATGGATGGAGCTACACAGTATAAATGCTAAGTGAAATAAGTCCATCAGAGAATGATAAATACTGTATGACTTCGCTCATATGTGGAATTTAAGAATGAAACAAAGGAGCAAAGGAAAAGAGAGATAAGCCAAGAAACAGTTGTAACTATAGAAAACAGGCTAATAGTTACTAGAGGGAAGGTGGGGAGTTGGTGGGGGAAGGATGATACAGGTTATGGGGATTAAAGAATGCTCTTGCCATGGGGAGCCTGGGTGATGTATGAAAGTGTTGAATGATTCCATGGTACACCTAAAACTAATATAACACTGTAGGTTAATATACTGGAATTAGAATTTAAAAAATGATTTGGTTGTCATGGTCTGTGGCAGCACCTCTAAACATGAAAGTGAATGGGAGAGAATGAAGAGTGGTGGGCCCAGGAAAGAACGCCAACGTGCAAGAAGCAGAAAGAGGAGGGATTTTCCAAGCAAACAGAAGTTATGGCTGGAGAGGGAGGAGAACAGAGGGCATCATAGGGTGGAAGCCAAAAGGCCAAATTTTACAGGCAGGGCCTTACCACGAGCCAAATAGACAATAAGGTAAGGGAAATTCTCACTGTCTCTATAGTCTATCTCAGCTACTACATTTGTTCTTAGACGGTAGGGGATGGTATTACCAGCAGCTGACATATTGTGAACGCTTAGTAAATGCTTGGTGAACTAAAGAGGACGGACCGACAAGGGCGACTGCCAAACAAGGATTTTTAAAGAGCTCACCTACAACTCAGTTCCTTCAAGTGCCCTCACTAGGATTTGCAATTATAACCAGACTGACAGAAGAGTTATTTTCAACCATTTCCTAAAATGTGGAAATGATGTTTATAAACAGTGCCCAATCTCTGTGTGTATGTAAGGGAATTCTGGACAATGGAGTTTTGCTAGTAATATAAAAAAAAAACAAAGACCTTTAAAATCTTTACATTGAGGTTGTAAGAGTGGGTTATTTCCATACGAATGATCTCTCATGATCATCTGTAGAAGTGTGTGCAGTCACGAGAAGAACAAACCACATTAAAGGAAGTAAATGACTCTCTAAGAACGCACAAGTGTGGGTTGCTATGACAACTGCTGGGTTATATTAAATAGAGAGCCAAAAAAAAAAAAAAAATCAATTAGAAACTACTGGGAGAACTTGCATAGGAGCATCAAACAGTTCTGCCTCACAATTTCAAGAACTTTCTACAGCCGGCATTGCATGAACAGGGTTCCTGTTGATGTAGTCACAGGCTTAGTTCTAAGAAAGGTCACCTTCTTGACACATTCCCACCATTCTAGTGTTTCCTTCCATAACCTGCTCTTCTGAACATCCAAATAATTTATCAAAGTAGTGAAGAATTTATGCAGTTATCTGGCTCTTCTCTACTGGTGACACTTAACAGTGTTTGCCTTCAATCCATTTTTGTTTAAACCAAACAGTTTTCAGGTTTATATACAGAGAAACAATTTCGATCTGTGGAGCAGTTCCCCCACCACCCCCAATGTGGCACATGTCTGACTAGTGAAGAAAATATAGGGAAACTAGACATGGTTTCAGGAAGCCACCATGCCAACTCACTCCTAGGTTTCTTTTCTCTTTTGGGGGATCTACTATTTTCCAATTCTAACTTTCTGATGTGCTAAGAGAAATAAGGAGAGTTTGCCAAGTTTTTCAGAATTTTCAATGAAAATGTTGTTAAAGTGATAAAATGGGAAAACCCTTTTAACGAAATGCTGAAGGTTCAAGAGCAACCACAGAGAGACCAGACATGAGCTATGTGACTTTCTCATGGGAAGCTCCACAAACATTTGTGGAAGGGTTCTTGTGGTCATCAGGTGGCCCTTAGTCTAATGAGCGCACTGATCTCACGAAGAAGTGTTTAAGCTCTCAGAATGGACCGTGCATGGTTCCTTTAGGAGACTACCACATGACAGAGTAACCCAAATGGGACCCACTGAGAGGGTCTCTGCTCTCCAATATGCACTGCCCAGTACCAGCAGATTGATCTCAAAGAAGCCCTTCATAGCAGCGCTTTTCAAAGTGTAGGTTGAGACCCACAACTAAGTCCTAAAATCAACAGTGGGTCAGACTATTATTAAAAGACAGAGGGAGAAAGAGAATCAAATAGAAAAATACAAGAATGAATCTCATCCAGTAAGGGTAAATATACTTTGTGAAACTTCTGTTTCTTTCTCTCTCTGTACATATGTATGCACTGGATTGCTGGATTGAACATATTTCTTACTGTAGGTACTAGCCAAAAAGGCTGAAGAGCCAGACTCTGCCCTGCTAAGAATACCTTGATGTTCTCTGTTGTGTAAGGAGGAGGGAAACAGGGAGGGGGAGGGAAGGAAGGGGAGCAGGAATAAAAAGAATTCCACCTCTTTTGCTCTAGAGTTTCAATTATTCCTCAAATCTGCTCTCTACTTCAATAATACTACACTAGGTTCCAACTTTTGTACTCACTCTCCTCTCACTGTCCTTGGTCCATTGTACCCTTTATTCATAAAGCTTTCTCTCCTCTTTGTGGTTTTTAAATTCTATTCTCCTTTAGGGTCCATTCAGGCCTTATCTTGGCATTTAACCCATATGATCTCTATGTCCTCTCATCACTCACCTCTTTCTAGCTGTTATGCTCAATTCCACACAATTTCTCTCCAGGTGTCCCATCTTCTTTGAGCTTTACCTGCTTCCTGTCGCACTCTGCTCCCACACCTCCTGGTACCTCTCTTCCAGTCTGCCTCCTTCCCCCTGTTGCTTTTCTCTTGGCATCTACCTCCTAGCTAACTATCCTGTTTTTGTTGTCTGGCTGTTTCTGCCTTTTTCCGTGGATCTCTAGGTTTTCCACTTGACTAAAAGCAACTTGAGCTCAGGGACAGTGAATCATACATTTTTGTACACCCCATGATATCTGGCATAGTACAGGGCATATCAGAGGTGCTCAGTGTAAATGCCTTGAACTAATCAATCATGATTCCCTCCTGTGCACCAAACTCTACCCTACTCACTCCAGTATTTTTCTCTCAAGATACAATGTTTTGTGTTTAAAAGGGCTTTTTGACTTCTAAAGCTCTCTAATACCTATTTCTTATCTCAGTTTTATCTATAAAAACTTGGTAAAGAAGGCATGGGTCATGATACTTATTTTTGAGAGATGAGGAGAATGAGTCTCAACAACATTTTTAACAGCAGCAAGCCTTGTCAGTGATGTCCCCAGAACCAGAATCTATAATGTGACCTATTCTGTGCTACTAAACTCTTCTGGTAGAAACCTAACAACAATCACACAGGATAATAAAATGCTCAGTCAATGCAAAATGTTGTATATGGAGAAAAACAATGCAATGACGAAATAGCAGGCAGGGCTTAGCCTGTGTTTCTCATGAAATGAGAATTTGAATACCTTGTACTAGATTAACATTTTGGTTATTTTGCTTTTGTAGTTATGCTTGAATGCTCACAGTGCCGCAAAAAGTGGGAGGAAATCCGCTTACTACTTACCGAGGATATGCTGGCTTCTACTATAAGGTTGAAAGTCCTTTCATTAAGCCCATCATAGCAATTAGCCGTGACTCTGTGCACTGTTACAAATAATGACCTAGCTCTGTTTTGTTAACTTGTCACTTACCAAGCTGTTCTCCTAAATGTTGGCCTCTCTCTGTTGAAATGACCCGCTCGTCTTCCATGTCACATTTGTTCCCAACCAGGATAACCTGGGCATTATCCCAAGAGTATGTTTTGATTTGAGTTGACCTAAAAGAAAAACAGGCAAGAAACGATCAGCAGAGAACACAATGTAAAGCGAAGGAGAAGGACTATGTCCCACAGATGATGGTAATAGCAAAAAAAGAAGCCCAAATGCCTGACATTTAGAATTAATTAGTTCAGTGCAATTTCACCCTTCAGATACTCAGAATATTTGTACTAAGAATTCTTTTTTATTGGGTGATATTAATATGACTACTGGTTTTTCCTTTCTCCCTTTTACCTATACCTTATGTAGTACCTTTATAGCTGGAGTGACCAATGATCCTTGTTTACTCATGACATTTACAGTTTTTGCAGTAAAAATCCCATGTTCCTAGAAACTCCTCAGTTTTAGGAAACCCAGTTGTTCACCTTAGAGCCCACCACAAAAAACAAAAACAAAAAAAAAAAACAAGCATGATTTTCCCTTGTTACAATAACAACTTAAAGAGCTAGGACAATCGGGGCCTGGGAGAGATGGGGATAATGTTAATTTTCAAGAATGAATCATAAGGAGAAGAGGAGGAAGATGGTGGAGGAATGGGAGACCTAAATTTTGCCTGGTCTCAGAAATTCAGCTGGATAATTATCAAACAATTCTAAATACCTACAAACTGAACAAGAGATAGAAGAGAAGAATAGCAGCAATTATATGAACAGAAAATCGACTGCTTTCTGGAAGGTAGGACATGCAGAGAAGTGAATCTGAGACGATATACGGGAAGATGTACTGTGGGTGGTGGAGGGGCCGGCTCCCAGCAAGTGGTAGAGCAGCAGAGCATGCAGTCAGAACTTTTAGAAGTCAGCTCCACTGAGGGACGTCGCTCCAGTGGCTAAGCAGGGGGTGGAGACCTCACTGGGACAGAGTGGTCTTCTCAGGACCCTCGGGGGTCACAGAACCAGGGGTGCCTGAGTGTAGCAGAGCTCCCAGGTATCAGAGTGGGGAAGCTGGCTGCAGAGACGGAGCTGAGGAGCAGACTTTCAGATTGAGGTTACCTTAAACCATGATCTGAGGCACAGTCAGCCACTGCTCTTAAGCAGGGACCCCACAAGTGGCAGAAATGGGGAGACACCCTCCCTTCCTCCATTGGGAGGAGCTGCACAGAAGCATACTGCAGGCATCTGCTGGGTTTGGAGACTCCAAATGGGGCCATGTGCCAGAGACAGAAACACTTGGTCACAGGCCAGGTGAGCATGGAGTGAGGCTGGAGACCAGGGAAATGGGAGTGATTGAGCGCTTTTTTCTGAGGGTGTGCTGAGGAGTGAGGCACCCCCCCTCCCCGCTCTCAGCTCCTCCGGGCAGAGATTGGGAGGCTGCCATTTTCATTCCCGTCCTCCAAAGCTCTACGGAAAGTGTTCAGGGAACAAAAGCTACCAAGAGTGAACCTGAGCAGATTACTTAGCTGGGCCCCTGGCAAGGGTGGTGCAATTCCACCTCAGGCAAAAACATTTGAGAATCACTACAAGAGGCCCCTCCCCAGAAGATAAGCAAGAACATCCAGGCAAGACCAAGTTCACCAATCAATAAAAACTGCAAAACTCCAGCACTGGGGGAATACAGCACATGGAATTCATGGCTTTTTCCATGATTCTTTAGTCTTTCAAAGTTAAATTTTAAAAATTTTCTTCTTTTGGGGCGCCTGGGTGGCTCAGTGGGTTAAGCCTCTGCCTTCGGCTCAGGTCATGATCTCAGGGTCCTGGGATCGAGCCCCGCATCGGGCTCCCTGCTCAGCAGGAAGCCTGCTTCCCTTCCTCTCTCTCTCTCTCTCTCTGCCTGCCTCTCTGCCTACTTGTGATCTCTGTCAAATAAATAAATAAAATCTTAAAAAAAATTTTTTTTCTTCTAATTTTTCCCCTTTCCTGTTTTATTTTTTTTGAAGTTTTTTTTTTTTTAATTTATTTATTTGACAGACAAAAAGTGAGAGAGGAAACAAAAGCAGGGGGAGTGGTAGAGGGAAAAGCCAGCTCCCTATGGAGCAGGGAGCCCAGTGCAGGGCTCAATCCCAAGACCCTGGGATCATGACCTGAGCCAAAGGCAGATGCTTAAATGACTGAGCCACCCAGGCACCGCAACCTCTTTCCTATTTTAACCAACATCTTATCAATACCTTTATAAAAATCTTTCTTAACTTTCATTTTTATAGTCATAATCTATCCCTTCATTGTATTTAATCTTATTTTTAGTATACATATAAGTTTTTCTTTCTACAAAATTTTGGGATACAGTTTCTTCTAATGACCAAAATATACTCTAAATCTAGTGTATGGCTTTCTTCTAGTCTCCTGCTGGCCTGATCACATTCTCACCTTTGTTTTTAATTTTTTCTTTCTTTTTTCAACCAACTTACTATCATTTAAAAATTTTTTTTAGATTTTCATCTTTACAGTCATATTTCATCCCTTCATTTTACCATTTTATATATATGTGTATATATAATAGATATATACATATATAGATATATATTCTTTTATATATATAGAAAGTTTTATATATATAAATATATATAAAAATATATATTTACCATTATATATATATATATATATATATATATATATATATATATATATATATGGTTTTTTTCCCCATCTTTAAAATTGGGGAGGCAGTTTCTTCTAACAGAAAAAAAACCACACCCAAAATCAAGTGTGTGGCTCTGTTCTTTTCACCATCCTGATCATATATTTATATATATTTTCCTTTTTTTTCTCCCCAATTTCAATTCTCTTCTGATTTGTTTACTGTGTGTTTTTCTGGGGTTGTTGTTCTCCTTTTAGCATTGTGTGCTCTCATTCATCTGCTCTTCTCTGGACAAAATTATAAGGTGGAAAAACTCACCTCAAAAAAAAAAAAAAAAAACAAGAGGCAGTACTGACTGCTAGGGACCTGATCAATACAGACATTAATTAGATATTGAAACTAGAGTCCAAAATAATGATTACGAAAATGCTAGCTGGCCTTGAAAAAAGCATAGAAGATACTCGGGAATCCCTTTCTGGAGAAATAAAAACTAAAATCTAACCAAGTTGAAATTAAAAAAGCTATTAATGAGGTGCAATAAAAAGTGGAGGCTTTTAATGCTAGGATAAATGAGGGAGAAAAGAGAATTAGTGATATAGAAGACCAAATGATGGAGAATAAGAAAGCTGAGAAAAAGAGAGATAAACAACTACTGGATCATGAGGGGAGAATTGGAGAGATAAGTGATACCATAAGACAAAACAATATTAGAATAATTGGGAATCCTAGAGGAAGAAGAAAGAGAGGGGCAGAAGGTATATTGGAACAAATTATGGTGGAGAACTTCCCTAATTTGAGGAAGAAAACAGGCATCAAAACCCAGGAGGCACAGAGAACCCCCCCAAATCAATAAAAATAGGTCAATACTTCATCATCTAATACTAAAAGTTACAAGTCTCAGAGATAAAGAGAAAATCCTGAAAGCAGCTGGGGACAAGAAGTCTGTAACATACAATGGTAGAAATATTAGACTGGCAGCAGACCTATCCACAGAGACCTGGCAGGCCAGAAAGGACTCGTATGATATGTTCAGAGAAATAAATGAGAAAAATATGCAGCCAAGAATACTATATCCAGCTAAGCGGTCAGTGAAAATAGAAGGAGAGAGAAAAAGCTTCCAGGATAAACAAAATTTAAAAGAATTTCAAAACACCAAACCAGCCCTATAGGAAATATTGAAAGGGGTCCTCTAAGCAAAGAGAGAGCCTAAAAGTAGTAGACCAGAAAGGAACAGAGACAATATACAGTAACAGTCACCTTACAGGCAATACAATGGCACTAAATTCCTATCCTTCAATAGTTAACCTGAATGTAAATGGGTTAAATGGCCCAATCAAAAGACACAGGGTATCAGAATGGATAAAAAAACAAGACCCATTGATATGCTGTCTGCAAGGAACTCATTTTAGACCCAAAGACACCTCTAGATTGAAAATGAGGGGGTGGAAAACAATTTACATGCTAAGGATGTCAAACAAAAGTTGAGTAAATCCTTATATCAGAGAAATTAATTTTTAAGCCAAAGACTATAAGAAGAGATGAGGAAGAACACTATATCATGCTTAAAGGGTATGTCCAACAAGAAGATCTAACAATTTTAAATATCTATGCCCCTAACATGGGAGCAGCCAATTATATAAACCAAATAATAACAATCAAAGAAACACATCGACAATAATAGTAGAGGATTTTAACACCCCACTCGCTGAAACGGACAGATGATCTAAACAAAAGATCAACAGGGAAATAAAGGCATTAAAGGACACATTGGACCAGATGGACATCACAAATATATTCAGAACATTTCACCCAAAGCAATAGAACATACATTCTTCTCTAGTGCACATGGAGCATTCTCCAGAATAGATCATATCCTGGGTCACAAATCAGGTCTCAGCCAGTACCAAAAGATTAGGATCATTCCATGCGTATTTTTAGATGACAAAGCTTTGAAACTAGAACTCAATCACAAGAGGAAAGTTGGAAAGAACACAAATACATGGAGGCTAAAGAGCATCCTACTAAAGAATGAATGGGTCAACCAGGAAATTAAAGAAGAATTGAAAAATGCATGGAAACCAATGAAAATGAAAACACAACTGTTCAAAGTCTGTAAGACACAGAAGAGGTGGTCCTGAGAGGAAAGTATATAGCCATACAAGCTTTTCCCAAGAAACAATAAAGTTCTCAAGTACACAATCTAACCCTACACCTAAAGGAGTTGGAGAAAGAACAGCAAAGAAAGCCTAAACCCAGCAGGGGAAGAGAAATGATAAAAATCAGAGCAGAAATCAATGAAATAGAAACCAAGAGAAGAGTAGAACAAATCAATGAAACTAGGATCTGGTTCTTTGAAAGAACTAATAAGATTGATAAGCCCCTGGCCAGACTTATCAAAAAGAAAAGAGAAAGGACCCAAATAAATAAAATCATGAATTAAAGAGGCAAGATCACAACCAATACCCAAGAAATACAAACAACTATAAGA